TGAACGAATGATTAGTACGAGAGCCAAATAATTTGCTATCAGCATAAACAGCTGCCTTATCTTCTAGTTTCGTTCAGGTGAAGCAGAAAAACTATGGTACTTAAATGGGAGGAGAGAAGGAGGGAAGCAAGAAATCCTAAAATAAAGGGTCAATCACTTTTAAATATAAACCCCCTCCAACTTATTTTTCTATCACTCTTCCTTGCCAAAAAATCAGTAAGGTATTTTCCTTGGAATAACGAATTATAGTGGAGGAATCCAACACTGGTCTCAATTCCATTGTTGCTCAAAAAAAAATCCTAGTGAACTTGGGAGACAAACCAGGTGGACTTGTAACAACAGCAAAAAGGCAGATAAAGGTGATACAGAATACAATTAACACAGGAAAAAGGAAAGGCTTAATTTACGATGCATATAATGTGCTACTTCAGAGCATGAAGTGTTCCTTATGGCAGGCTTAAAGCCGTCAAATTACTCAAAACAGACCCTGCTAAACCTGCCACACCATTACCCAATTTTGTGTGTGGCTGAATAGCCAGTACAGATTTGTACAAGTTCGACTTAAACGAAGAAAGGGAGAAGTTGTTATAGGGCTGGAAAATTTATAAGAAAATACTATGAAAATACAGGTATTTTCTAAAGTTGTAGTTTAACACCTCATATTTTGATACATGTCCTGGCGAAGAAAGAGTTTCTAAACCTGACAAGCCAGAAAGCAATTTTTATGCTTTCCTGGTTGTTGCCCGGCTTGTTCTAGAAATTTAAGTTAAACGGGTTGTTGTTAACCCATAATCAGTACAGACAAACATTACATTTTTTGTCTTTTTGTATTATAAAACAGCAAAGGCCAGTGTTCTAAAATAATATTTAAGGGCAAGAGAAAAAAATAAAACTTTTTTTTTTTTTTTAAACCAAGTTATGGCTTGGAGAAGGGATACATCACAGTGTATGCCTACCAAATATAAGAGAGAGAATTTAGTTTTTGAGTACTGAAAGCTGACAATGCAAATTGGTCCTAGAAAGATTATTTTCCTTTTTAGAAATTATTCAATACAAATTCATTATGACGATGGTTAAGCCATACAAACAGCTTTTGCTATTTAATCATTTTGATATTTTTGGAATCTAAACTTCAAGTGGTGCAAATGCTCCAAGAGAACCTGATGTATAACCTCACTTTGTGATGCACAAAAAAAAAAATGTTCTAATTCTTGGTTCTTTTATTTGGTTTCCCTACTTACATAAGTCTTCCACTTGTGTAGCAGTTTATCTCATTGTTAGACATTTCAGATTCATGTCCTCGGCTTTGTGTGCTTATGTAGATCTCTATCAGTGGGGAGGGGGGTGTCTGTGAGTTGGGATCGAGGGGCTGGCAGCTGTTTTCTACTTAAACTATTTACTGGGTCGGGACTGGCCATCGATGTTTACAAATGGGTCCTGGTACAAAAAAGGTTGAGAACCACTGACCTCTGCTCTGTTCTACTACTGGACTGAGGATGGATTTGGTATTGATCAAAGCAGGAACTTGTATATCACCACCAAATAATGCCACCTTCTGCATGCCAACAGCCTGAAACGGCTAGAGATCTTAAAACTGGCTCCTGCAGTGCTACTTCAGGCTCCAGCTCCTGATGTTGCCTCTGCTCTGCTTAGGGGATCAGATGGGATAAATTCAGACTAGTTCCACAGTTGCGCTGTAGCTACAGGGAGTCAGGTCTCATTTTGGCTACACAAGCCCTTAAAACATTATTTTACTTTTCACCCGAAACACTTGCAACAGCCCCTGCTCTTTGCTTTACTGGCACAAGTGATCAGCTAAGGGAAACCACTACAATGGCACTATTCCAACTACACCTTCTCTATTTGAGAAAAAGGAAAGGAATGTCCTCTCCCCTTAACATAAGAAGCAATGCTGAGTACCTTCACTAGTTTTCCCAACTACTTTCTTTCTGCAGAAATTGTATTGCAAGTTCTTAAAAGCTGCAACTAAATAGAACTCCAAGATTTTCCTACCCATGAGCAGTTAACCGAGCAGTAAAACCTAGCACCTTTCCTTTCACCACCCAACTACAGAGCAACAGTCACAAGCAAGCAGCAGCAGGCACAAGCTGCCTTAGGGTACAAATTATATGGTACAAGACAGCACCATGGTAAGATGTCCCAAACCTGAAGCAGGATGGCAGTGCTAGTATGGCACTGCACGCTCCTAGAGAAGCAGGGCTTATTGACCTGTATGCAGTGCCACGCTAATGGTACTACTTGTGGTTCAGGAGCTAGCGCACACTGAGGCAGTGCAGCACGCCTCAGCGTTGCACCTTCTTGAACCACATAAGCAACCTCATCTTCACCTAATGAAGAATATCTGGAGCAGGGTCACTGGGGGATGCAGAACTTCTCACTGGCCTGAAGAAAGTATGACTGCCTGTGGCTCCATCACCTACCATGGTACTTCACAAACATTAGATTTTTTTTTTTTCTTTCTAATCCAGATTGGAATTCTCCACAATTAGTAACACTCTTCTGTATACCAACATCTACAGCAGATCTGCAAAGCACTCCAACAAAATACAACCTATTCACTAAATATTTTATGCTATATGCCAATAATGACTCGTATTTAGACTGTGAAATCCTCAGTGCTGGGAACTTGCCTAGCTTATTTGCAAAGCCTTTAGCACACTTTCAGTATTGCATGAATTCATAATCAAATAAGGCTTACATGGGGCCTTTAAACTTCGAATACTTTGACTAGTATGTATATTATTTTAAAATAATATTCATACATATAATCATAAAGAACCAACCTATTCACTACCACCATCTCTGTAGTTTGGTACACAGAAAAAAACAGCCATTGACAGAAAATAATTAAGATCAGAGCAGACAAATAAAACTTCAGGGGAACTTTAGAAGGCACATATTGACTGCATGGGTTACAATATGGCCACAATGGTAATACCAACGTTCATACTCTTTACTGCAAATCAGTGTCTTTAATAGTTTCATACTAGCTAGAGTCAGGAGGGACCTGAACAGATGATCTAGCCTGACCCCCTGCCGCAGGCAGGAATGAATGCTGGGTTCACAAGACCCCAGACAGGTGATCATCCAACCTCCTCTTCAATTTGCCCAAGGTAGGGGAGAGGACCACTTCCCTGACAAGTTGGTTCCAGATTTTGGCCACCCTAACCGTAAAATATTGCCTTCTGATCTCTAACCTAAACCCATCCTCCATCAGCTTATGACCATTGCTAATAACTATGACATACTTGCGAATTTTTCTGTTCCTAAGGCTATCTGGAGTACTTGCTCTTACATGGTAGGATGTAGATCTTAACATATTTAAGGTTCTTTATTCTACGATAAGTATTTCATTGGTTAGTAAGGTCTTGTTGCCCTTTGGTAATTTTTACCACTGGGATGATGCTCTAGCGATCAGGACACCAGCATAGGACTGGAGTTCAAGTCGTTTCCACAGATATACTTTGTTGTCTTGACACATTTTGTTAGTCTCCCTGATCCTCAATTCCCCCATCTGCTAAATAGAGATACCATCACTGTCCTAATCTGCCTTTGGCATTCTGGGAATCACTGCCTGTCATGTATGAAGACATGGTCTCATTGCTTCTTTGTACTGTCCTGTCCTGTCTGTCTATCTGTATGCATGCATCTCTAGTCTTACACTTAAATGATAAATTCCTTGGGGACAGGGTCTTCTTTGTCTTCCATCTTTGTCAAGTGCTAACACAAATGAGTCCTGATCCTTGAATAGATACTACAGAAATATAAGCAGTAATATCCCACAGAAATATTGTGGACAAACACTTCAAAGACTGAGGCATTAAGAGGTTGGGCACAGGATAGGCTTATTATGTGTAAACTGACTTCATGATATAGTACAAGTGAAGTGGACACATGATGTACGTAAGGCAGCGCAAAACAGCAGCGTTCTGCTTTGACTTCTGTTTCGACAGAACCGTGTTTAGTTTCGAGTTTCGTTTTGTTTTGACAGCACTGTTCCATTCCACTGTCAAAACGGCTTTGCTGTTTCGACGTTTTGCCCATTAGTTATTATGGGGAAGCATGAAATAGTCTATAACTTTGTCATTTCTTGCCTGATTCTGATGAACCTTGCAGGGATGCTAGCCCCTTCTGAGGGCATGAAGCCTGCCAAGTTTCAAGGAGATAAGTCCAGGGGTTTCTGGGGCAACTGCACCTCAAGCTGCTGACATGTAGCAGCTGGGGAGCAGGAGCACCGTCCTGAGATCTGGCAGGCAGATCGGGGGCCCGCACCCCTGGGAGGAGTCCAGCAGGGCCCCTGCAGCCCTCCTGGTTCTGCCTGCTGGTTCACAGGATGCTGCTCCTGATGCCTGAGACCCAGTGCTGGGGAACAGAGCCCAGCCGGGGGAAGTGCCTCCTGCCACCAGGCTCAGTTCCCAGCGGTGTGCAGAGCTGGGAAACTTAGCCCAGCTGGGGGAGGCACCTCTCACTGCCGGACTCAGTTCCCACCACTGGGCTCAGCGCTGAGAACTAAGCCTGGCAGCAGGAGGCGCCTCCCCCCACCAGGTTCAGTTCCCAGAGGCTTGCAGCTCTAGAGAACTCAGTCTGGTGGGGGGAGGCGCCTCCCGCCACCAAGCTGTTCCCAGCAGCTCGCAGCCCCATGCAACTAAGCCCGGTGGCAGGAGTTGGAGTGCAGCACCAGCTCTGTCCACCTTCCGCCACCAGGCTGAGCTGCATGGGGCTGGTGAAGCTGATCAGAGCACAGTCTGGTGGCAGGAGGCAGGGAGAGCCAGGGCTGTACTCCAAGCGGCTCCACAGTCCCATGTGGCTCAGCCCGGCGGGGAGTGCAGCCCTGGCTCTCCCCTGCCTCCCACCACCTGCCTGGCTGCTTCGAAGTCTGAAACATTTCCAAACATTTTGACTGGCCTCATTTCATTTTGAGGCTTTCGAAGCCCTTTGTTTCATTTCAATTTTGCTGTTTCAAACTTGAAACGAGTAAAAAACAAAACAAACAAACAAACAAACAAAAAAACGTTGAAACGAAACAGCCAGCTAAGGTTCACATAGCCCTAATGTACAACCCTATTATGTAGTAATATGCTCAAATCCAGGGTAAGTCACCCCTTCAAAATATGCAATAACTGTAATAAAGAGATTAGTAAGATTCCTATTTATAATTTGTCTGCTCCCATAACGGGTTTTTGGCTGAGCTGGTTGTTTTAAAACAAACTGGTGCCCCTGCCACCTAGTGGCCAGTCACCATAATAACACACAGTGCCAACAGCAAGCTTAAGCAGGCTGGCCATATGTCCGGTACTTAAGACAGAGTAACTTTACCATGGAATAAAATCTAGAGTAAATGACTCTTTGTTAATAACATCTAATATATGTGCTGACACACTGTAGGATTACTAATGTCCATCGCAAGGGATGTGAAGGTAAACGAGAAGGGTTTCTACAAGTATGTTAGTATCAAGAGGAGATCAGGAAAAGTGTGGGTCCCTTACTGAATGGGGGAGGCAACCGTGTGACAGAGGATGTAGAAAAGACTGAAGAACTCAATGCCTTTTTTGCCTCAATCTTCACAGACAAGGTCAGCTCCCAGGCTACTGTACTGGGCAGCACAGTTTGGGGAGGAGGTGAGCAGTCAAGTCGCAAAAAAACAGGTTGGACTATTTAGAAAACCTGGACATATACAAGTCAATGGCGCCAGATGGGATACACCTGAGGGTGCTGAGGGAGTTGGCTGATGAGACCGCAGAGCCACAAGCCATCATCTTTGAAAATTCATGGCAGTCAGAGGTCCCAGATGATTGGAGAAGGGCAAATATAGTGCCCATATTTAAGAAGGGAGGGAAAAGGAGGGTCCAGGAACTACAGACTGGTCAGCCTTACCTCAGTCCCTGGAAAAATTGTGGAGCAGATCCTCAAGGAAATCATTTCTAAGCACTTGGAGAAGTGATTAGGAACAGTCGGCATGGATTCACCAGGGGCAAGTCATGCCTGACCAACCTGATTGTCTTCTATGACAAGGTGACCTACTCTGTGGATGCAGGCATGTGCTATACCTTGATTTTTAGCAAGGCTTTTGATACGGTCTGCCACAGCAGTCTCGCAGGCAAGCTAAGTAAGTATGGGCTGGATGAATGGACCGTAAGGTGGACAGAAAACTGGCTGGAGCTCCTGGTTCACTTATCATTCAGGCTTTGATTCATGCTGTTGTTCCTGTTGTTTAAAGAGTTATGTTCAAAGGTAAAATATATCTTTAAATCTCCCAGGATATCTACTGGGCAGGCAGGGCACCAGCCTCTTCCCGGGTGGGGGGCTAGACTTTGAGCGGGCAAACTTAGCTGTGTGGGGCGGGCAGCAGCGATGATGCTGGGGCAGGGGACAGGAGGGGCAAGCTACCCCCCAATGTTGCCCCTGCTACTGGGTAATTTTTGTTTTGTGACTAGTTCTTTGTAATTAAATTGCAAACTGTGTCTTCCTTGTACAGTCCCCACGTGCACTTTTCTAAATGAATATCATCTCGGAGATCCTGAGATGAAAGTAATTTTGTTATACAGTATTTATACATCTTTACAAATAATTATTCGGTGCAAGATAATTGGAAGAATACTGAAGTACAGGCAAAAGACATGGATTTTTGGTGATATCTTTTACTGGACCAAATGTATAGTTGGGATAGATATTAGACAGGCTTTCAAGTACAGTCTGCACTGACAACACTCCAACTCCACTAAATAATTATCTGATGTTTAGGAATAAATGAGAGATCTGATTTGAATAACGAGAATCTCTTACTAAATTAGAAAAAAATAATTTCAGTATTTTTTTCAATATTTTCACATAAATTAAACATAAGAAAATACTTACCCAAAGATTATTTTCATAATAGAAAGCATCAAGAAGCTTGACAATATTTGGATGATCACAGGATGCTAGAATATCAATTTCAACCATGTAATCTTCAAGTTCTTCTTCTGATTTAGTATCAATCACCTTTGCAGCAGCCAAGACTTTGGTTTCTTTATTCTGAGCCTGCAAAACAAAATCGGACAGGAATGTCTTCGTTTTTAAGATATTCAGGACAGGCAAACAGACAAATATCAATTATTTCACCTCCTTAGATTCTACATTTGCTTGGCCATTCTCCATGTTACAGGTATCATGCAATTAACTAGTTACTTGCGCAATTACCTTGAGACCAACTACACCTGCAAAGTACCTATCACACAATAAAAAGCTCCAATCAGCTATACAGTTAGACCTGGAAAATGTGTACTAACTCTATAGCTGGTTGCTATTACGCTTTAATTTGCATGTATAACAGGGTTTCCCTAGTGGCTGGGAGCCCTCTCCCAGCAGCAGGTGTGCACCATGCCCAGCTGGGGCTGGGATTCCTTCGAATGAAGACACCCTTAGCCCCAGCATCTGCTGACTCTGGGTCCCTATGCTGCCAGGACCCAAGCCTGCAGCTGCAGACACTGGATGCCAGGATCCAGCTGGGTCTTGACAGTGAAGAGGGTGTGGCTGCCCCAGGGGTGCATGAAGCCCCCCCAGGGCTGGAATGCCTGGAGCTGGGAATCGTGTGTGCCCCACATAGGTGTTTGGGGCACTCCTGCTGCTGGGAGCCCCTCAACTGAGGGGGCTCGTAACTGTGGGAGCTTGCTTCTTGCTGGTGCAGGGCAATAAGGCATGATGGGATCTAACGTGCAATCCCACAATCATACCTCCTGCCATGCACATGGGGCATAGCAGGTGGTGTGATTGTGTGGATCATGCATTGGATCCCATTATTCCTTTACCTCCATGTGTAGAGGGGCCCCTATAAGTTATGTAAGAAAGTAACAGCCTACAGCCCCTGGAAAAAAAATTAGAATATCTAAGTGGTAAAAGACCGTGCAGTACAGAGATGACCCAAGCTAACTTTGTATGTGCTAGGCATGGAACCAGAAATAGTCTAAGCAAAGCACTGCACTGGACTAATTTCCCCCCCCCCCCCCCCCGTGAGGAGTGGGGGGGTACGAAAGTGAACAAGTCACCATTCTTTCTTCAAATAATTGTCCACACAGAGTCTACTCCAGGCGTCTAACGAGCAGTTCTCTCTGCAGGAGGTAGAAAAGGAGTCTTAAAAAGCGACTGTAGGACAGTTCTACAAAGGCTGGCAACTGAACTGGAAGTCCAAACACCTTAAATGTGAGGGCTGCTCTTAGTCTTTTATTTGAGCTGAACAAAGTCAATGAGAAGTGTTCTCACACTGCTTGTAGCTTTTTGTGGAGAGTGTTAAAGGTCAATCTATCTCCATTTAGAGGCTATCCATGTGGATTTCAGACAGGTTCAAGACTATCACAGCAAATAAGGACTTTCCAGGACATGGCATAACATATGCAACCACGGTACACAGAGGTTCCCCCTGCTGACATTCCTATTTCTGAAGTGTATAGAGCTGCTAACTAGCATTGCTTTTAAGTGTTTACCTCACCTGAGTCCTCCCATTTCAAATGACAGTCTTAGAGATTTTCTGCAGCCACTCTTCAAATAAGACTCCTCTCCTGTTTATTCTATATAGCTCAGAAATTAAAACGTCATGGACGGTACCTTTATCCTATGCAGATAAAATGTAGGAATTTTGTTTCATGTCATGAAGACAATTTTAACACTGTGAATGTGGCACCCACTATTTACACGTAGGACGTACATTTCAGACCCAACTGAATGGCGACAGTAATAATTATATTCTGTCTGCATAATTCATAGATGTAGGTTGTAAAGGACCGTGTAGATCTTCTAGTCTGACCCCCTGCCCCGAGCAGGAGAGAACTGGGCTCAAATGACCCCAGCTAGGTAAACGTCAAGCCTCCTCTCAAAGATCCCCAAAGTAGGAGCGAGCACCACTTCCCTTGGAAGCTGGTTCCAGATCCTAGCCGCCCTGACTGTGAAGTAGTGCCTTCTAATGTCTAGTCTAAACCTACTCTCTAACAACTTATGGCTGTTATTCCTTGTTACTCCAGGAGGCGCTCAGGGGAACAAGGTCTCTCCCAATCTCCGCTGGTCCCCCCTAGTAAGTTTATAGATGGCCACCAAGTCCCCCCTCAGCCTTCTCTTGTGGAGGCTGAACAGGTTCAGGTCCCGTAGCCTCTCCTCGTAGGGCCTGCCCTGCTGCCCCCGATCATGCGGGTGGCTCTCCTTTGGACCCTCTCCATGTTGTCCACATCCCTCCTGAAGTGCGGTGCCCAGAACTGGACACAGTACTCCAGCTGCGGCCTGACCAGCATCACATAGAGGGGGAGGATCACCTCCTTGGCCCTGCATATGATGCATCAGTGGATGCATGACAAGGTGTGGTTGGCCCTACTGACCGTGTCCTCGCATTGTTGGCCCATGTTCATCTTGGAGTCAATAATGACTCCAAGATCTCTTTCTGCCACCGTGCTTTTGAGAAGGGAGTTTCCCAGCCTATAGTTACGCTGCTGGTTCCGACTGCCCAAGTGCAGCACCCTGCACTTGTCAGTATTGAATCCCATCCTATTTTCACTTGCCCACCCCTGCAACCTGTCCAGGTCCCACTGTCATCTGTCCTTCCCTTCTAGCATGCCCACCTCACCCCAATGGGCATGTTAAGGAGATGCCTGGAACTGGAAGAATCTAGCCCCTCCACCTCCCCTACAGAGAGGGGGATGAGTGAGAAATTCCCAGCAAGACAGAAGTGACAAGGCAATGGGAGGGACGATAAGGAAGACCCACAGAATCAAAAAGGAAGCTTTGGGCAAGAGATGGACGTGGTTTCATAGTAGGGTGGTCTGGCTAACTGTGGGACAAGCCAAGGTCAGAGAAAGCTAATTTACCTCTGAAGAGATACTGCTCATGGCTTCTCTTCAGTAGAAGAAATCTGAACACTCATAAGTTTTGCTTAGTCCCAAAGAACTTTTCCAGAGTCCTGAAGAAACTAAGGGACTGCAAATATATGTAGGTGCATTTATTTTGACTAGATCTTGTATATTCAGTGCAAGGTGTGTCTGTATGATGGTGTAACTATCAGAAAACTTGAAGAGTTGTACTGTAAATGTGGAGTGCTTAAGATGACTAAGTTATGGAAAAGGGCTGCTTAAGCTGCCAGGAAGACTGGGGTATGTCAGAAGCATGCAAGTGTAGACGGGGCCCACAACAACCAGAAAACTAGTTATATTTTTATATCACATGCAGAGAATAAACATGGCCTGCTGAGCGCTGCCAGGAACAATGTGGAGGACAGGGTGAGGCTATGGGGATGAAGGAGGCCTCATTTGTCTGGGGTAAGACATGAAACTGCACCCTGCAGGGTAAGCAAGGGGTCTGGTGGGCCTCCCTGTGGTGGGGGGGGGTGGTCCCTGAAGACATGCCAGGCCAATCACTTTCCTGGTGAAAGGCAAGTCTGGGGCACCTTAACCTCAGCCTCCACATCCCTGGTGGGTTCAACCAGTCCAGGGGGAGCTCAGGCTCATGGGAGTCCTGATGCTGCAGGGGCCCTGAGACGGGGCCAGGCACAGCTATGACCACCTGAGCCTCACAGGGTGCAATACCCCAGGGCAGTGAGGGGGTGGTGTATGGAGCCCAGTACTTGTTTGTTGTTTGTGTTATGAAAGACCCAGTGTGAACCACTGGTGGATGCCATCTGCGAGGCTTGGGCCACAGTGTGGGGTGCAACAGAGCTGCAGATATCCCCCTAAACATAGGGGTTCAAAATAGGCAGCCTCCTGCCTGATTTAATAGCCTAATGTTATTACATCAAGGTGTAGCAGGTGGGTGAGGTGGGCGACTAGCCCATAGACGGGAGGCGGGCCAGTGCTTGCACTAGGCATGAAAGTTTGCCCCTGTCAAGCATAAATGATAAAAACATCTTTCGCACAGCAGCTATAATGGGATGCAGTGGAATTGCAACCTAATCAATTTTAATAAGTACTATAAAAGTAATTCTGAAACAATAATACTTTTCTAATTTAAGTTTTCCCTTTTCCCTGTACTGTCCAAAAGGCCCACAAGAGCAACTTTGAATGCTGATAAAGACTGAAACCCTGCCAATACCCCTGCAGGCAAACCCTGTACTTACGCAAATGCACCTGCAGGATTAAACCTAGTTCAATAATTATGTAGGGAAGATACTGACTGTGTATGTGTATAAATAAATGACACCAGGAGTGTAGACAACCCTGAAGTGTTATCTTTTTTCTTCTTATCCCATTGTTAGAATCATCTTGGATATTACCTTTAACGACACTGAATCATTCAGGTATTATTTTCAAGCAGATGATATTTCTTTAAATTTTGGTAGTCTGGTTAAATCATACTGCAAAGTATCTATTAGAACTAAGATGCTTATTAGCAGTCAGTCTACTCCAATTCGGCTAGATTTTTACTCAATGAAAAACTGAAAAGCAAACACATGGCTTTAAAAAAAAAAAAAAAAAAATGCACAAAATTGTCACTTATTAGCTTACTGTGATTTAAAATAAAATGGTCGAACATTTCTGTCTATCTAAGCTGAGAGAGAAATTTCATAACTAACAATTTTAATTATTACTCTTCTCAAGTTCTCTTTCATTTTCTTTCAACACAGTTACAAAATTTATTCAGATTTAAGTTAGACATTTAGTGAATACAAATGTCTTTCATCAACAAAGCAGCAATCCTGAAGAATATGATTTGGACTCTGCTACATTATGTTCAAGGTATGAGTTCTGAGATACCTATGTACTATATATATATCAAGATGCTCCTCTGCAGGTTAAACTAAAATATGCCTTCAACTTTAAGGAAGTTGAAATCTGCCTTTTATTGTTTTTCATTTTAGTAAAACAAACACTGATTACTGAGGTAGGTTTTCCAGTGATCTTTCTCAAAGTTTAATAACAGAACTTTTGCATTATTAGACATGCATTTATCTAAGCTTAAGTTGAACGAAGCTCTTTATCTTGTCTGTATTAGTTTCACAAATTGTATGAAGAGTGAAAGCCAAACTTTCCTACTGTGTAATTATTGCACTCAATGAACAGTATCAATAATAAATGAAACACAGAAGATAATACAGGTATCTAATTCCACAGTAACACCAAACTATGGAGTTTTAGATGCCCAACAAAATATTGGCAAAAATGGAATATTTCTTTAATCAATTAAAATGTGTGCCTATTTGCATCAAAATTTATTTTTGTAGTTCAGGCAGGCCTACACACACTAAACCAGTAATTCTTGCACCACCACTACTTGTCCCCAGGGAACGCCCATGCCACATGTGCTCTGACACATGGCACGTTACCCCAGCAGCAGTAAAAGGAGGGTGAGGCCAGCACTGGGCTGGCCCCAGCTGCCTGTCCTGGGGGCCTCCCAGGGCTGCAGCAGTGGTGATTCTGCTCTGTGGAGCCTGGCTGGCAGCCACAGCATGGATCCGGGTAGCCTGGCTCCACTCTTGAGCGGCACATGCTGCCCGTGCATGCACCGCTCCACTTCTATTCTCCCAGGGGTCAAAAAAAACCCCTCCATGCTGCTCCTTTACAGCTTGGAGAACAACTGAACATGAGGTATCTGTCACAGTAGACATGTCTGTGCTGCCACGTATCGCACAGCTGCACTCATCTGGACACGGCCAGGGGTGCCTTCAAATCCTCTCAAGAGTGTCATGGAGTGCCATGAAATATTAGCACTGTTAGATGTGCAACCAAGATTCACAAGATAAACCCAGAGCTTTCACATAAGAATACATAGCGTTAAAGATTTTGACCTGTTGTGATCTTTCTGAATTCTTTGCAAGAAAATTGCTCTATTTTTTCTGTAATAAAAAAAAGCTAACAGCTGATATCTTCTATGGGGTACTTCAAGTCCATCAAGAGATGCCCCAAATCTAAAAAGGATGAGAACCACTGCCCTAGACAAAACTAACTCTTTGGAATATCCCCTTTGAATGCAAAGCAGAGGACCTTTTTTTGTCTAGATCTATAGAAATGCCTGGGGCAAACAATCCTAAAATGATCTCAGAAGTGAATCCATAACAAATAATTTAAAATTTGCACTCGATATAAAATGTAAATTATGAAATTTATAAAAGAAAAATAATTTAAAATACAGCTCTACTGAAAACTGCAACAGGAATTATGGAATTTTATAACAGCAATTATCATCACTTTCAGACTCAATTTCATCTTTGAGGAAAAAAACAGCAATTTAAAAAGGAGGGCATTACTGAGTGTTATATGCACTGAAATGCACAATATATTCTCTTCTGTTAGTATTGACAGGTCTATCTGCTCTTGTGAATTCAACTGCTCAAACTAACTTAATCAGATATGAATATATTTCCATTTGCTTCCTGTCTGTAGCAACTCTATTAAACATGTTTTTATACTCTGATATAGCAAACAAGTTGTATATCATTTTTACTAGTAACAATGTCAGGTTTTCAAATCTGGCACTAGTTTCTAATTATTTAAAAAGGTAAAGACCTACCTTTTGTACACATTACCTTCAAATTTGTGCGTTCCTCTCAAGCAATTCAAATACAGAAAATTGGAAGTCAAATAATGACAAATGTTTTAAAATAAAGTAGGGCTTGATTGGTTTCAATCATGACATTTTTTTTTAAAGTTAATTTTGAGCAGGATATAATCAGCTTTTCTATTGGAATGCAAAGAGTTAGCTGGTGCATTTACTGATATAACTATTGTTGGCATAAAAGTATCACTGAACTGTGTGGGAAAGGGCTGGATTGAAAAAATGGAACAATAATGGGCATTTTTTTTTTTTTTCCCAGGCTTCGGTAGAAATCTCTCTTTTGTCACAACACATTGTCAAAAACAGCAGAGGAAGAACAAAAGTGTTTGAGTAACTATGCCTGATTTGCATAGAGTTAGAACTGCACACGCGTCTATTTAAAGTCAAATAACTTCACACGTGTGAATATCTTTCATGCTACCCTGAGCTTTTGCACCTTAGAAAAACTGTTCTGTAGAAATATTCTTTTACTATATCAGGGTTTGTTTGTTGTTTTGTTTTGTTTTGTTTTTTTCCCTTCTTTATATGTCATACTAGTTTGAAATGCAGCTCATTTATAATCTTGTTCCTGCACACATTCTGTCAATTCAGTCTCCTATCTAGGAAGGCACACTATGATGCTTTAAATGTCTATAGATCAGCCCTGTATTGTACTGAGTTGGTGGAAAGGCCAGGGGCTTTTTTCATCCATGATTCCTCCATAACCTTTAGACATGCTTGGAACTTGGTTTACTGGAGCAGTTAACTGTGTGCTTGATGTTTTCTGGGCCATGTCTGAGCACCTGCAAGCTAGTGGAATACCATGCTGCTGCTACTATTAATTTGAAACAATGTGGTTGAAACTGTAGAGCATATGCCTAGGAGAATCTTTGACCAAAAGACTTCGTTATTTTATCTATTAATGACAGAGCAGCAATCAGTTGACAGATAGTGAATACATGCATTGTTCCTGCTTGGGAGAACAGTACAGTTAATGTTACAATATAGTTCTGGGGCTTTAGCCCTGGGTGGGAACATTACTGTAGCTGAAGACAGACAGATTAACACAGCTCACCTTTCTCTGCTCATGGGGAGTTGAAGATTCGCTGTATATAGTAATGTATCCAGGTTGTAGCCATATTGGTCTAGAAGAAAAGGCAATCAGGACTCATAGAGAGCATACCTTTTATTAGACCAAGATTTTTGCAAAAATCTTGTTGGTCTAATGAAAGATATCATCTCTACTACAAGTCCTGAATGCCTGTATATAGTAAGTAGCTTTGCAGCAGTCTTTAGGATGCTAGTAGCAGGAGCTAGCAGAGTGAGCACTGTTGCAGAGGGCAGTAACTCCTGACTTCCAAGTTTTACTCTGCTAATGATTTAGTATGCGATGTTGGACACACATTGTTTATTAAATAACTTAACCATGAGATGAAAAGTGGGCTTCATCAGCTACAAAGGACAGTAACACGGTTAATTTGTCCAACACTATCTCTGCTATACTAGAATTTCCACTGCAAAAATGGGGATAATATTTGATTACCTCGTACAACTGGTGTAATGGGTTTGAACTGTACTAGGGCCTGGAAATGAAAACAAGCAGTCCCTATGGAGTCTGGATTCTAGGGGCACAGCCTCGGGAGATCCCTTGCTCTTATAAAATCTCATATGCCAGAATACAAATTCTAGACCATACCAACTCTTCAGTGAGATTAGGAGATAACTGGGTCCTGAGAAGAGTAACGAGATAAGAATTCAGGCAGGAAGCAAACTGCAGTCATTTATTCATGGCCCTAAACCATGGGGACAGCACGGCATTTGTTCTATAACTCGGCAAGAGATGTTCTGTTTTCTTTCACCTGAAATCTTTGGGGATTTACGCCTGCTCCCACAGAGAAGGAACAGCGGCCATAGGGGCCTATGAGGCTGTTCAGCCACGGCAATGCAGACGATTGTGTGCATCTTAAAGATAACCATTATTAGGTAATTTTTCAAGAAAAGTGAAACATAAGGAAATATGATACAAGAGAGTTTTTAAAATGAAACTTAAGAGCCAACTGCTGAGGCTGTTACTCATTAGAAGTTAGCTTCTCACAAAAGGAACTATATCTACCTGCGTGGATCACAGCTAGTGAAATGGTTTTTATTCTAACTGGCTCCTTTGGACACCACTGGAATATAAATAACAATACAATTTCTAAGTTCTACAATTATAGCTTCAGGTCACCTGCTCTAAACTGGACCTTGATTGGGTAAGAGGGTCATGCATACAGATTCTCATATCTAATGAAAGGCAAGCACTCTCCCCAAGCCCTACTGTTCCTTCCTGTGATCTTTTGTAGTATTCTCTGCAATTGGAAGATCTAAATCAGATACCTAACTACTTGCTACTGAATTAGGGTGAACTGCATCCCTTCTTTCTTAGACTGGCAACTAGAAATACTCCTAAGATACTGAACCTTGTTCTCCTCTCTCTTCCCTCCTGATGCCTCTCTTTATTGAAATATGATGCAACTACATTGGGTTTCTGCAAGCGACAAAAACAAATTGATTATGAGCCTCGGTTTATTCCGAATTCATATTGGTCAACAAAGCTACGAGCATAAATTTTCACCCTTGGAGTGATTGAAATGGAAAACTAACAGACTATAAATCGCCATTTTGTAAAATATTTCATGTCTATTGCAAGGCTACATTATTTGATGTCAACACTGAGGCAGCCAGAAGCATCTCAGTTAAATAAAAACCATCAAACAACACCGCACCAGTATAACATAAAGATGTCCTTGCAGAAGAGATGGTTAAGAATTGCTCTTATTGTATATGAGCAGTCTCATGACTTCTTGGGAGCCCAGGAATTGGTTATGGTCACTGTAAAGTAAAAGGTCTCTGAAATTCTTCACTCCTGCACGGTAGTCTGCAAAATATACCACTATTTAGCCAGCTGTTTTCTTAATATTCCTGTAGTAGTCTGGGTGCAACAGAAGAATCACTCTTAAAGTGGCCCCGTCAAATTAAGGACTCCGCTAAACTGCATAGCATAATGGCAAGAGTCAAAGAAGCAGAAGGTAAACAGCTTCCAAAATCGCAGGAATATATTGAAGTGGCTGTATTGGTATGCTTACACAAGCAAAGGCAAAGAGTACACATTGGTCAGTGTAATTACTTTTTCCTTAGAGAGATCATTAAAAAAGAAAGGTATTGTCAAAAAATAGAAATCTAACCCAAATTAACCCCACCCCATAAGAGTAAAACATTACAACAGCCAATATATAAAAAGGAAATTAATAATATTAAGATAAAATTCAAAAGCAAATAGCTCTAAAGATATATAAAATCAAATAACTAAAGTCTTTAAATTGATCAAAATCAAACTGTGAGGGAAATGGTATGTCTTTTTGTCCTTTATGGGATCGGGAAGGAATAATTAAGGAATATAAGGATACTGTTGAGAGGCTAAACTATTTCTCTGGATCTTCATGCTCTGCAGTAATGCTGAAATACTTACTTCATGCCTAACTTTTGGTTATAACAACAAGAGATCAGAGATTAAAGTGTACAAGATGATGCAAGGGAGATGGGATTTTTCCTGCCTCAGGCAGAGGGTTGGACTGGATGACCTCCCGAGGTCCTTTCCAGCCCTACTCTTCTATGATTCTATGTGCTGGGAGAAAATCAGCAGAGCCATGAAGCGGCTGGGCTGCTAACAAAAACAGGAAATCTCCCTCCCATCACTGGCAGGCAGCAATACTGTATCTACACTTTGAAAGGGCAGTAAGGTAAATTAAACAACAGTGAGCTTTTGTTCCATACCTGCATAAACATTTGAAACTAAATGATTATTAAAAGAGCAGTGAAACATCTAAAAGATCATAATACAGCAGCATCCAATACCCTTTCCCCAAGGACAAAATACTTCATTACTGCTTGCTGTGGAATAATGGTATTTTTTCGCTGTCAGAGGATACAACATAATGGCAGATAAGTCTCCTCCCAGGAGTTTTCAGGCTATTGCTAACAAAACGATGCTACCAAAGTTCAACTCTAAGGCCCAACATACAACCCTATAATGTTATTATGGTTTGCTGCTGCCTTTGTGGCTGTTATGTAATTTTACTGTTTTCAGAATGGTTTCCATGGCAATAAAACTATTGCCTTAACACCACTCAGTGCTAATTGTGGTTCTCCTGCTTTTTCCAAGATTTGGTTAGAGAGGATGCCACAGTTATATTTGGTGCAGGGTGTGTTATTGTATATTACTTTCATGTTTGTTCAAACCCATTGTTGCCCTATGAATTTTCAGTAGTTCTCTGGACTGTGTTCAATAATTGGGACCAAATTAACAAAGGTTCCAATCCTGCTGCCTGTATATAAAATGTTACTGAAACCAGTGGGATTAATTGCATGCATCCATTAATGATCAGGGCTGGATTTGGCATGCATACATCATACTTCATCACAACCGTGAGGATTAACCAAAATTGTTCCTTTACTGAAAACTAATTATGAGAACTGAATATTTATATTCTTAAATCCTTGTTCTTATTAAGGGGAATATACTGGCATGTAATAAAATAAAAACCAAATAAAACAAATATAGTTTCAGGCAATTATAATCACATTTTCTAATATTTAAACCTTGTCCCTCTTCTTCTGCTGCCTGATAGACCAATATAAGCCACTGGGGAAACTGACTGAATGCCATGGGAATAAAAAAGTAACTATACACCAGATGTTGGCAAACCAGAAAAATACAAGGTTTTTTTTTCTAATCTCTCTCTCTTAAAAAAAAAAAAAAAAAAAAAAAAAAAAGTGATCTTAGATGATGCTACAAGTAGCAGGTAGAATATGCAGTCCCTCATTAAAATGAAGATGCCTGGGTGAATCTGGGAAGCACAGACCACCAAATATTAGTTCAGTACCATGTTAACTAAAATTCTCAAAAATGCAGTTATAAAATGGTTTGAACATGTTATGATACAGAAAAAAAATCCTGCCTTCTGATTAGGGAAACTGAACCTCTCTACTATACCATGTCACAACCCGAAGTAGTGATTTTTTTGTTTGTGTGCGCTTTGGCACTGCTAAATTATTTTCCCGCTAAATTGCAGCTTCTTTGCATGGTGGAGTTTTCTGCTGCAGAGGAGAACCCCGGTGCAACGGAGTATTCCCGCCAAATTTGTAGCTTTCTTTGCATGGTGCATTTCTTTTGCATCCAGGAAATGCACGGTGCAAAGAAGTTCCCGCCATTTGTATGAAGATTCGTGCCACATTATTGGCCGATTCTAATACATTCACACGTGGCGGCTAGCGATTGGCTTGCTAGCCGTATAAAGAGCTTGGGTGCTTTCCGCCCAAGTTGGAGAGAGAGCAATTGGAGTTCGAGAGGGAGAGCGTGAAGATCTCCAAGCGCTGCGGATCCTTGCGGACCCAACGCTTTTCTTAAAAAGCAATAGAGGCCTGATAACCGAACCCGCAGAGCTTCAACAACTCCGGGGAAAAGAACGAACAGCCTCTAGCCTCTCCCCGTTGCCAATAAATTCCTAGACGTATCCCTTCCTGTACAAGAAACTACCGAACCTGTGGAGTTTCAATAACTCCGGGGCAAAGAAACTACCGAACCCGC